TGACGTGTGTTGTGTGTGTTTGACGTGTGTTGTGTGTTTGACGTGTGTATTGTGTGTCTTCAGTTTAGGTCTGATCTCAGACTCCTTCCACATGTTCTTCGACTGCACCGCTCTGCTCGCAGGACTCGCAGCATCCGTCATCTCCAGGTGGAGATCGAACGACAACTTCTCCTACGGGTCAGACACACAACACAGACACACAACACAGACACACTAACACATCTCCAGGTGGAGATCGAACGACAACTTCTCCTACAGGTCAGACACACAACATTGACTGTGTCTCTGTGTGTTACAGTTATGTCAGAGCTGAGGTGTTGGCCGGCTTCGTCAACGGACTCTTCCTCATCTTCACAGCGTTTTTCATCTTCTCTGAGGGAGTGGAGGTAACACACATATACACACACACAGACACACATTTACATAGACACACACTCAATTTGAACCTGTCTGTCTGACAGAGAGCCCTGGAGCCTCCAGACGTTCATCATGAACGTTTACTTCCTGTGTCCATCGCCGGTCTCCTGGTGAACTTGGTCGGGATATTTGTGTTCCAGCACGGAGGACACGGACACTCTCATGGAGAGGAAGGTACAGGTTGGAGAACCTCACTGAGTGTAACCCAGCTCTGTGGAACCACAGATCAATAGAACCTTGGTTGTCTAATCTCTTATGCTCTCTCAGGTCACGGTCACAGTCACTCTCTATTTAACGGCAGTCTGAATCACGGACATGGTCACGGAGGACACAACCACCAGAGCAAAAATTCCGACTGGCATGGACATGAAGGACATGGAGGACACGGACACAGTCATGACGGTCATGGACACAGTCATGACGGTCATGGGCACAGTCATGAGGGTCACGGACACAGTCATGAGGAACCACAATGTCACAGTGAGTTAATACCAGGTCACAAATGGACCAGACGAAGTTTCACCTCCCGAATAGAAGTTCTTCTCTATGATTGACACAAATGTTCATGTTCAGTACGGTTGAAACGATACGCCAAACCCATGGTTCGGTTTAGACCTCGTTTATTTTATTTCTGAGTGGGTGTGTCACGAGTGCGTAAGAAAAAGTCGGTCGGTCGTGGCAGCGTGTGGGGTTCGGAAGGGAGAAGTGTTGTGGTTCCGTTCATGCGTATTGCAAACTAAACTGTCTTTTGTTCGAGATTTGTTACAGTCCAGTCACAATTGCCCATGGTGATGATGTTTTTTCTTTCAGATGAACTGCACACACTGGGGAGAGGCTCCAGTAAACAGATCCTGCAGGGTGAGACACACACACACACACACACAAACTGTGACAACTTTAAAGCGATAGTTCACCCAGAAATGAAAATTCCCTCATTATCTACTCAGCGCTATGATGGAGGGAGGTGAAGTGTTTGAGTCCGCAAAACACTTCTGGAGTTCCAGGTGTAAACAGTGTTACAACAGAATCCAAAGTAACTGGAGACCGAGACTTCAGACGTAATATAAAAACAACAGAAAAAACACAACATGCCTCCATTCTGCTGCTGTGGTGTCATCAAGTGTCCACAAGCTCGACATTCAAATTCCACTTTAAACTGTTTCATTTACACCAAGTTTTAAGCCTAAAATTCCACTGGAAGTGGCTAAGCTAGCAGATGTTAGCACGTCTGACGGTCCACGAACGCCTCAGAGGAAGATATCGGGACATTTAGAATAAAAACTTGGTGTAATGATGTCGTTTTGAGAGGAGTCTGAATGTCGGGCTTGTGGACACTTGATGACAGTGGAGGAGCAGTATGGAGGCTTGTGTTTTTCCTGTTGTTTTATTCTGACAAAGTTCTTCTCATAGTTACACAAAAAGAAAACAGCCAACACAAAGTGTTAATTCCTAAATGTAAACACAGGACTATTTCTTTCGATCGGATACATAGCAGTGGGGCGGAGCTTATACAGACTAACACCAAGTTGACTACGAACACAAATCAAAAAGTGTTGAGCTGCAGCGAAAGTTGCCATGGCAGCAGATCTCAGGTTTAACCTGACCTCCGTAGTACTGGTTAACAACAAAGTTAGTCCTGAACTTATCCTGATAAGCTAAGAAGTGGACTTGCTTCGTAGTATAGGCCCAAAGTCACATGATGATGTCACAGTGTAAACAGACAAACACGTGTGCTTGATATCTCAGGACATGTGTTAATGTCATGGTTTGAACAGGGCTGTTTTCTGTTACATTCAGTTTCTACAACTTTATTTAGAATCTAGAGATGACAACAGCAGTGGGTCTGTTTTCTTCACACCAAAATAAAGATGTAGCTTGACTGTGCCAACAGGGGGCGCTCATACATCACACAGTGAAAACCACATATCACAGACATGCAATCACACATGTTTCTCATTTGATGTTTTTCAGTTGAAGAAAAAAACTTCTGTTTTTCAAATGAAAATAAAAGAATCTCAATGAAATCAAATGCAACCAAGCAGCTGAGATAAAGTGTGTGTGTGTGTGTGTGTGTGTGTGTGTGTTTTGCAGGCGTTCTGCTGCACATCATCGCTGACACTCTGGGCAGTATTGGTGTGATCATCTCTGCTCTGCTGATGCAGAAATACAACCTGATGATCGCTGATCCCATCTGCTCCATGCTGATCGCCATCCTCATCGGAGTCAGGTGACCAACACACACAAATATATACATATGAGAAATAATTCATACTTGTTCCCACACACAGCATCATGATCTCAGTATACTCTCACACACGCTACTATAAGCTCTGATTGAAGCTATGATTAAAAAGGGAGTTAATTTGACCAAAAGGAAAACAGTTTAAATCCAATCCACACATTTGATTTGTCTCAATTCAGTTTGTCTCATCGATGTCAACAAGCAGCAACGTCCTCTGTCCTTCACTCAACAAGAGACAAACTACAGAGACACTTTCTGAGCAGTAACTGAAGCACATGAGTCACATGTGAGGATTCCGTCTCCAGGACACGAGGACAATAGATGCTGATGAACTGAACACATCAACACAATAACAGTACTATTGCCTAGAACCTCATAAAGAACCTTAAACTCTTGTTGGTGACTAGAACCACTACGCATGTCTAACTTTTCAGAGGACCAGTAAAACATCAGAAACATTTTATTGCCCAATACTGGAATCAACTTAAGGATCCTAGAACAATTTCACATTTGAACATCTTAAACAACCAAATCATAAAGGTTCTTTGGAACCTGCTCAGAGAGAACTAGAAACCTGAAGTACCCAGAGAAAATCTTCAGTGATTCAGAACATTTTTAATGAATCTCTTTACTGACCATTACAAACTTAGGGAACCCAAGAACCTCATCATCACTGATGACTCTTCAAGTGTCCACAAGCCCAGACATTCCAATTCAACTGGAAACAAGGTTGTGTTTGGATTCTGCTCTAACTCTGTTTAGAAACTCCAGAAGTGTTTTGTGGACTCAAACAGTTCACCGCCCCCCTCCATCATAGCGGAGAGGAGATAATGAGTGAAGTTTCATTTTTCGGTGAACTATCCCTTTAACTAAACACTCGGCTCATCTGTCCGATTCCTCAGAACTGACCTTAAACCAGCGGTTCAAGATAAACTATTAAACCCTGATGCAAACAATAAAATGTTTCCAGTCATGTGAAGAATGTTCCATCATTTAATTTCTCCAGTGTCTCAAACCACCGGTATGAACTGAAACCAGTCCTGGACTTGGCCTTGTGATGTAAATGCAGTGGTCAGATTTCCCAGAAGCCCTGGTGATAAATGGAGTTGATGTGTGGTGATGTGGTTTTAATTGGCTGGAAGTGAAGGCAGCTGCAGTGTGAGAGCATCAGCAGAGCTGTGGTCACTGAGAGGCCTCGACGCCACCGCAGGCATCAGGTTACTGCAGCTGGAAACGCTTCAAAACAAACAAAAAGAAAGTCTGTTTTAGAGAAACACGTCTGTAGAGTTTCAGTTTGTTTCTATATCTATAGATATATATATATATTTCTATATGTGTAGTTGTTAGTGGTGTCAGTGTCACGTCCCTCTGATCTCTGACCCTCAGCGTGGTGCCTTTACTGAAGGAGTCCATTGAGATCCTGATGCAGAGAACGCCTCCGTCACTGGACCACGTTCTACCAGAGTGTTACCAAAGGGTGAGTACTGACCCCGCCCCCTACAGTACTGCAGTCTGTGAGTTCCAACATTCGATGACATTAACTCTACCTGTTCCTGGTGTTCTGTTGCTTTCAGGTGCAGCAGCTGCAGGGAGTGTACAACCTGCAGGAGCCTCATTTCTGGACCCTATGTACTGACGTTTACATCGGGACATTAAAGCTGCTGGTCGCCCCCAATGCAGACACCCGCTGGATCCAGAGTCAGACTCATCACATCTTCACACAGGTACTGAACACATCGTGTTTTAACACGGGTACTTATCTTCTAAAATTAAGTGTATTTACAGTAGTATTCATTGTATATGAACTGTTTTATTGTGTGTATTATTTACTTTAAATTTAAAGTCGTACTTATTGTTGTCTGTCCGCAGGCCGGCGTTCGACAGCTCTATGTTCAGATTGATGTGGCGGCGATGTAGAAGCTCCTCCTCTTCTTTGAAACTGGGACCAATCACATTCAATCTACTGCTGCAGGTGACCCCTAACCCCCTATCACACACACACAGGATGGGGGCTGGGGGGGGTTAGTGGTAGGGGGGGTGGCACTGAGACTGAACTCTACAAGCCTATCCCCCACATATTATTATTTTACTGTAATCCCGCCCCCAAGTGCCTTCTTCATGAATCAGAGACAATCTGAGACCCCGTCCCCTCTGACATCACAGCTGGGACCACACCGCTGCCATCTCATTGGTTTGTGGTGAGTGTGATGTCACTCATGTTTTTAATGTGCCATGTCATGTGACAGTTTCTTCTCTCAACTGTAATATAATAAAATTAATTCACTTTATCAGATTATTGATCTGCAGCTTCAATTCACCTAAACAGATTAAATCTGTTATGTCACATGTTATGACATCATCACGGTCATTACATTTCAACATTAAAACATCAGTTGATTAAAAATGACTTTCATCTGGGATCAATAAACTCATCGATCCGTTTCCTCCGATCAGAAAATAAGTGATAACAATTTTTAACGTTTACGTCTCAATTTAATCAAGTTCAAAGGAATCAACACATTTTTATCACGACAGTTTGAATCAGGACAGATAAACACCAGAGTTCCGTGTGCGTCCTGGCAAAACAGTTTAGAACTGAGGGTCCTCTGATTGTGCTACCGACAAACGTGAGTGTGTGTTATGAGGTGTACGTGGAACTGTCAATCATGCGCAGGTGCTGCAGTGCGTTTGGTTCCGCGTTAACTCGCAGCATGTCCACCTCCAGCGGGTGGAGTCGACCTGTGACAATCAGCGAGTGGAGTGGAGCACCGAGGTCACATGACACCAGCTGACGCAACGTTGCCACACGGATTACCTGGTCATCGGCACCAAGTCGGGCGACGCCCACACACACAGTGTCCTCAGTCACACCTGGAGAGAGGACGTGTTAACAAATGCTAACAATCATTAGCTGTAATGAATTCAAACATTAGCTTGTTAAATTGTTTCTGTGTCTCATGTTTGCATCTCCATAATATTTTAATGACTCAATGTATGGACATGTTTCAGCTCAGGTGTCACTCACCGATCTCCTCCCCCTCCACCCTCCTCCTCTCGATAATCTGGATCAGCTGATTTGTGGCCTGAGCCACCGTCATGAAGCGAGGAGCCTCGTAGATCTTCTTTCCTCTGAAATCACATCAAACTTTCACCAATGACACTATGAAGTAATCACAGTAATAATTATAATAATCTGATCCAGGATCATCTTCAGTCTCATTCTCTTTATTACAAAAACCCCATGAAACCAGACTCAGCTAACTAAATCCTGGCTTCAGTGTAAAGGTCCATCTGGAATTAGATTCAACTTGAGTCTTAAGCCGTCCCACTAACACAATTCAGCCGAATCTGATCAAGCCCCCCCCCCCCCCAGTCTGTACCAGGACATGAGGTGGTCTCAGTCGGTTCTGGTTCTTACCTCATCATGTTCTCAACACTCTGCTCTTTCACTTTGATATCTGTCAATCAAAACATTACAATCAGTTTAATCAGTTGACTAAACTTCCTGTTTTATTTTGAAATCTTAGACAGATAAAGGACATCCTTTGTCGTCGTGTGTGTGTGCGTGCGCGTCTGTGCGTCTGTCTCTCTCTCACCCAGCAGACAGAGTGTGTGAAGTCCAGCTGTTCTGTTTTTGCAGATTTTGTCGTAGAAACTCTCTGGTCTCCACGTCTCCGTCCAAAACACCAACGACACCGTCTCCCCAAAATTATACAGCTGACACAGACACACACAAAATTACACACAGTCTCACATGCGTGCGCATAAGTACTGTGTCGTCTGTCTGACGGGGGTGGGGGTGTATATATGTGTGTGTACGTCAACAGACAGCAGGGGCTGATGGGATTGATGCACAAACAGCTCATTTGCATACCCCACCCCCTCTTTAACATATTAACGACCTCACAGGGGGCAGCTGTGGGTGGGGGCAGTTGCAGCTGGGTCCTGTTCACTGATTGGCTGGTCTGACAGGTCAGTTATTGATGAGGTAACATAACTATTCATCAGCAGTGGTATCTCTTCAGCCCTGACCTTTGTCTGTCAGGCAGCACACACAAACTACGCAGCAGAACGTGATGTCACTTCCTGTCAAACATGTCACAAGACAGAAGTAAAAACTTATAACGATCAGGGGTTCTTAAAATGTCATGTGACCTCATCAGAGACCTCACAGGTGGAACATGTTCTACACACTGGTTTCCATCGTTTTACATTTTTTTGAAAATTATTATTAGATTACATTTGCATTTTGTTATTTAGCAGGATTACATTACTGAACCATGACATCAGGTGGTGGGATGTGGTGGCAATTTTAGAGCAGATCTGATTAATTGCGAAATTCAAACTATGTTGGTGACAAGGCTTCACGTGCACATGTGCAAACTTTGCTCTCATGCAAAACAGATTCGGATTGACAGGTTCTCACAAGAAAGAAGCTGAAACTATGAGGTCAGCTGGTCTGCGTGGACACAAACAGCTTTATGGACGTTAGCACAAGTGAGAACCTGCAGAAAAACACCAGGTTACAGATCCTCATCGTTTAATCATCCACTACTGTATAATATGACTGGACACTACAGCGGATAATGAATGAAACTCGGGTTTAGGACGTTAACCTGCTGGAGATACTGGTTCTCTGTCCTCTAGCTGATCATTTTGGTTTTCCACAAATGAAGTTTGGAATAAAACCTCTCATCGGCCAATCAGCATCAAACCTTTGTATCTATATTCATGATGATGATTGTAGACACAGTCCCTGACAGACGCGGTGGCATCAACTTTGCCTGTGAGACTAAGCTCAGGGGGAAATGTGGTCCAGGTACCTGCAGACCACAGCAGCCCACAGCATTCATGATGGAGGCGTTGTGGATAACTTTATACGGTATCCCAGCATTCACTGCTCTCAGGACCAGGTCACTGTGGGTGGTTGCTCTGCAGAAAAAAACATGTCACATGACATGTAAACAGGAAGTAGAGTGTCTCCTCCGCAGTTGCTTAGCAACAGAACCTCCTCTGAAGGAGGAGCAGTGATGGTGAAAAGTCAGAGGAGAGATTTCTTTTCTCTGAGAGACGATGAAGTGGAACTGTTCCTGACAGGAAATGTTAGCGACGCTTTGTGTTCATCGCTGGTAGTCGAGTCATGTGACTGATGAGAACCAATCAGAAGAGAACGTGGGTGTCTGCATCATCATGAAGAGTTATTATCAAAATAAAAACATAAACCAAAACTTAACTTTGTGTAAACCAGTTAAACTTTTAATATTTTTTCATTTATAATTAAAACTGTAAAATACTGTTTATGAAAAAATTACCATTATATTTCAAAACAATCAATAAAGCATTTTAAAACATGCAGTGGGTAAAAACTTAATGATCAAAAATGAATAAAAAGAAAGAAAAAACACAGAAAAGAAGAATAGTCTGAAACACTGAGTGTTGAGTTGAGTCGACGTCTCGGAGTGAAACCTCTGATGGAAACCAACAGCTGAACTCTGTTATTAACTTAATCCTGAGGTTTGAGACTCACCCGAATGGATCGCCCACCACCAGGAACCCAACGTCCTCCACATCAGCATCTTTCAGGATCTCATCTGCTCCAAGTTCCACTAGATCCCTGTCAGCCAGGATCAGCTGCTTCCCATAGAGCTGCTCCTGAGGATCAACCACACACAGAGAGATGATCAATCTCTCTCTCTCTCTCTCTCTCACACACACACACACACACACACA